TGACCTTAGAAAGTCTTGGCATTTGACCTGTCATTAGAAGGGAAAAAAAAGAAATATTTATCAAAGAATATTTATAAAGACACACCACCACCACCCCCCTCCATTGTTGGACAGCATTTTCCATGTCCTCTACACCACAGGTGCTACAGAAGCTGGTTCATCAACCACTTCTGCTATTACAGCAGCTAAATCCACAGGCAGCAGTTGTCAACTCGGAATGCTCGCATCTGGATGCAGAGATCAGATTTATGTGACAAGATAAAGTGGTGAAACTTCCACTAAAATTCAGTGAGTTAATTCTACTCAGAGGTGAAGAGCAGAAATCACAGATCAGATCCCACATATCTTAATGTGCTCAAATGATTCATAGATGCTCACAGAAATTTGAGACGTAGCTTGTGATTCAGCTTCAAGCTCACCACAGAAGAGAGCAAAAATATCTAGGCACACATCATGATCTCACACTGACATCCGCAGCAAAAGTGGATGAGCCATCGTGAAACCTTTCAGTTACATTGGTTCTGGAGAAACCGACTTCTGGATTTTTACAATCTGCTCAAATTTGGGTTAGATTTTTACAAAAATTTAAACCTGTTGCTTCTGACTAAATATCCAAAGAGGTAGCAAGGACTCCCTTCTCAGACCACCACCTTACCTTGTGCGGTGTTGTGCTTCTACTCAAAATCTGGACATTGTCCTGTGAGGGCCAGCGCTTAGCATTACTGAGTGTCTCGCAAATGAAAAAGGAGGAAGTACTGCATTGCTCACTAATGTTTGTACCATTCCAGATGTAAAGCTGTCTTGCCTCACACATGGCAAGATATTAATTAAGTCTTTGAAAAAGCTCCAGTCCCTATTTCAGGGGTGCTTACAGAATGCTGAAATGAACACATACTCCTCCACAAGTCTCAGGTGTGCTGTCTGACAATAGCATTTTTCTGTTTTTATCCCCTCCTGCAAATGTTAAGGTTTTTGCAAAGGAAAAAAAAAGGCAGAGGCAAGAATAGAATAGAAAAAAACCCCATTTCTTTAAGTAGTTCCAGCAGCTTGGAAGAGATATAATCAGATACTAAGATTGCTTTGGAGGGGGAGAGGGTTAATGACATGTCTGTAAACCCAAACAATTAGGACAGGAGATAAATATATGCAATCCATGACTGGAATACCATTTTCAGAAAGTATTTTAGCAGCTTTTTTCACACCGAAGTGTGATTTTGGAAAGCAGCTATAGACCTCTCAGCAGCACCATCTGATGCCACACTGCCCACTACTCCTTAGGCTGCCCAGCTATGCTGTCCCACTGCACACAAGCACTGCAAGGGGCACCTGGTTAGCACAACCAGACACATGTGCTAGAAATGTACATGGCAAGTAGTACAGATGAAGATTTGTTTTCACTTGTACTAAAAACAAAGTGTAAGAGTCTACAAGCCACATCTAAACAAGCAGAATTTGTTTTCTTAAATGGACATTTGAGTTCATTCTCATTACAGCTCCTGTTCACCCCAGTTGTAGCACACACATAGAATCATAGAAACAAATAGATGATTCTAGGTTGGAAGGGACCTTTAAGATCATTGAGTCCAGCCATCAACCTAACACACAAAACAACCACTAAACCATGTCCCTCAGCACCATGTCTACCTGTCTTTTAAATACCTCCAGGGATGGCGATTCCACCACTTCCCCGGGCAGCCTGTTCCAATGTTTGATAACACTTTCGGTGAAGAAATTTTTCCTAATATCCAATCTAAACCTCCCCTGAAATAACTCGAGGCCATTTCCTCTTGTCCTATTGTTTGTTACTTGGGAGAAGAGATTTACCCCCACCTCTTACAACCTCCTTTCAGGTAGCTGTAGAGAGTGATCACATCTCCCCTCAGCCTCCTTTTCTCCAGATGAAACAGCCCCAGTTCCCAACATGTACAGTTCCCAAATGGCAAGCTAAATTAAACAGTGCCATGTAAACCAACTCACACGTACACTGTCATGTTTTCTAAAATAGATTACAATTTGGCATACAGAGTAGATTTAAAACAGAATACACCAGAAACAAGTTTGTTTTCTTGGACCTAATCTGAGTATCACCTGTCAAACACAGGGGCAACAAACTGAAGAATGTACTGGTTCACAATCCTGTTGTGAATTGACATGAATTTATAATGAGAAGCAGGAGAATATTATGATGAAAAAGGGAAGACCTGTGGTGACAGTTATGATATCTATGTATCTGCACCTTTATTCACTTAGGTAGTTAAATGTTCCCTTAACTTCAACAGAGTGAAGAGAATAGTGGTTAAAGTGGCCTGGAAAGACACCTTACAGAATTTAAAGCAACTACAGAAGATTAGGAAAGAAAAGGAATCAGGCACTTTGCTATCAGGACCAAAACCATATATGAAAGGAGCGCTGTTTTCAGGTGCATCAAGTCCTCACAGCTTCCCTGCTTCCCACAAAGGTACGATTTTATTCCTCCAGGTTAGGGATATCACTCCA